TATACATATACATATACATATACATATACATATACATATACATATACATATACATATACATATACATATACATAGTAGTATAGTAAATTAATATATAATAACAATATATATATAACAAGCAGTTTTTAAGAGTTTCTTGGTATTTAAATTTAATTATAATAAGCAGCCATCAGTCTTGTCTTCCTAACAACTCTTAGTTAAACTTGTTGGAAGAAAAGTGTTTGGGATCTTCCAGCTCAAAAGCCAGGAATATAGAACTAAATCAGCCTTGGTCAAGCAGTGGCTGTGTAACCATGTAGCGTTGTATATAAAGCCAGTGATGCCAAATCTCTAGACATAAAAATGAATTTATTGGGCATGGGGAAATATACCAAAAATGGAAATGTAACAAGTGAAGTTAATAATCACATAAATATACAATTACAAACAAACCAGCCCAGATAAACTAATTATTTATTGCCTCCTTGAATAAGCTTTTGGCTTTTATGATGCACTTGGTCCATCTTTGTCGAAGGCTGATCTGGATTTCCTGCTTGACGCGGCCTAGGCAAGTATTTCTTATTTCTTTTTGACAAATTGTCAGTTAAATTCCTGCCATGTCTGTGTGAAAGATCAAACATTAAGGTATTTCTATGGTATACATTTCTGTTAATGTTACAAAATAATAGTTACTTCTAAGAACCTGGGAATTATATTGGGTGTGTGTAGATAATCGTGTCAAAAGAAAGCAAGATAGAGAGAAATAAGGGAGGTTGCAGAAATCACACTGCACATTCCTAAATATTGTTAGGGAATACTAGATCCCAGAGTTTTGTGGAGAGATGATGATTGTTAAAATACTTATAGCCTGTCTGTGTCTATCCCTTCGATTTATAAGAGGGTTCAAAAGGCTAAGAACACAGGAGACTACCAATTTACAGTGCAATATGAAAAGGCAGGAATGTAAAAGGTAAGAGACCCTGAACCCCTCCCTATCTTTTGAAAATACAACTCCCAGAATGCCTCATGCCATCTGGGCCTGCTGAGACTTGTAGTTCTGCTGGAGCTCCATGACTTTCCTCTCCCTACTTTAAGGAGTGTGGTATCTAGTCAGGTAGTTAAATCTTCCATGTCAACTCTAAGATTGACAGAACAGAGCAAATAAGAGACAGGTCATGTTCTTCTTGTGACAACAACTGTGACTGGGTACTGAAAGATGAAAGGTGGTAAGGCATCATGGACAATGTGTTACCACATTGCTTGTAGTGATGTAGGTAAGTTTATTTTAGAGCACGAATAGAGCTTTTCTTTTTTGTTCAGGACAGTTTGAGAATCTAAAGCCATTATTTGTCCTTAAAAGGCTAATTAGACCTTTGCAATGGAAGTATGGCATCACGTCAGCCCTTGAGGAGCACTAGCCACAGAATGGGAAGAAAGAACAACAGTCTTCATTTAAAATGTTTACAACATTCAAGTAGGGGATTAAATGGAAGAGAAAATAAACCTATTTTAGAGAGCTGCCTTTTTAAAACAACACACAAACTTTGAAATGTTTCACATATCTTCCTCTGACATATTTTTATACTGACTTTTTAGAAACAGTAGCTCAAGAAGATGTTTTCTTCTCAGTTAGAGTATTAATGTATTTCACAGTGTTTTTGTTACTATTCAGGAGTTTTGGGTCTATGGGCTGAATTTGGACTATCTGCATTCAAAGCAGATGTTTTACTGTTGAAAAAATTATATTTTACATTTCTAAATAATTTCAAGTCATTTCTATAACAATAAAGTCAATATAGTCATCAAAAAATAAAATTTAAATTTTTTTTTTCAGTTTTGAGTACAAAGTCCAGAAGGGGTTTTCAAAACAAAACTACCGTATTTTTCAGAATATAAGGTGCACCAGAGTATAAGACGCAGTAAGATTTTGAAGAGGCAAATTTTTTTAAAGAAAGTTTTTGCACTCTGCAGACCTCCCAACAAAGGCCCATTTTTCGTGAAAATGGGCCTGTTTTTTGTCAAAAAGAATGGCATGCATAGGCTTTAGGAGGCTTATAGAGTGCTCCTGGGGGCTGGAGGGCAAAAATCGGCCTGTTTTTCATTCATTTTTGCCCTCCCCAGCCCCCAGGAGCACTCTGAAAGCCTCCTGAAGCTATGCATAGCCATTTTGGTGAAGGGGGCAGGATTTCAGGAAGCCAAAAATGCTGTATTCGGTGTATAAGACGCACCCAGATTTTCAACCTCTTTTTTGAGGTTGATCTTATACGCCAAAAAAAATGGTAGATAGAATTTTCTCTTTAATTAGAACAATCAATTTGCCATCTCTTCCATTTCCATTGCCTCCACCATCTGTTCTTCCATTGTGGGAATTAATGAGTCCTTCCATTTATGTGTATATAAGTTATCACCATTGTCAACATGTATAAAACAAAGTTCCAAATTTTCTTTCAAGCTCTGTGAATTGGTTTTTTTAAAAACTTTGTTGTACTCTGCCCAGAGTCACTTGTTTTGTGAGATAAGCGCTTATATATAATTGAACAATAAATAAAAATGTTTACATTCTTATGAAGCTTCATCACAAACTGAAATTGCCTAAGTAAATTATTATGGAAAAAAGCATAAGAGAAGCAAGCTTACAAATTAATGTTTTCCTTTTCAGAAGTGGAGACAGATATATGTGGAAATATGTGAAAAAGTTACAGTGGCTGCAAAACCACAGTTCAGTGACACGGAGAGTAGAAAACATTTTTCAGGAAATGATGTAGCATAAATAGCATTCAGGCAGAGCTGAAGGTTCATATACTGTGGCCTCATATTTAATCATAAACTTGAATTAAGAAAATGCTTTTTTGATGTTGTCATATTGCAATATGCCCAAACAAACTGTATTGCGGTTTAATATTCATCCAACATGCTAAAGCAATGACTGAATTTCCACAGTATGATGAAACACAGAGCTCCATTTTAGTCTAGATTAGCATATTATAAGACACCCCCTCCCCCAACTGTGGAATAGATGATGGAAGCAATGGAAGCAATCTTTCTTCATTCAATTTAAAAATAGTACATTTGACTTTTATGGAACTCTTGCCTGTTTTGCAAATGGAAGCAAACACACTTGAGGTAAAACAGAGAATTGTTTTCATGCTTTTCAATCAACTGATTTGATCATGTTGAAGAGGTTTTGAATTTAAAAGTCTAGGCTTCTTTGGCTGACTTTCTCCCTCTGATAAAACATAGAAGCCAGATATCTTGGCCACAGGCCTTCAGCCCTAACTCTCTGAGACATCATTCCCTTCCCAAACAATGATGCCCCAGAAGCTCTGAATTTGGTGCCTTTCATATTCATCAATTAGATCTTTCATGTTTTTTTAATTGTTTTCCTCCTCAGCTAGACTGTAAAACAGACTTGGCTTCTTGAGTAAACAAAAGCTGAGTTTTTTTCTTGAAAGTCCTCTAGAGAAAATTGGTAAAGAATCTGAAGAAGAGAGGAATCACTGAATCCTGGTCTCCATTTATACTTAACTGTAACATAAAGTCATCTTTCTTCTTTGTCTCTATGATATTGCCATATTTCACGAGAAGAATGCCTTCTATTATCATTATCTGTACTGGTTTAGAAAAAGCATTTACCAAAACTAGTAAAATCTGTGATTTTTCATTTTCCATTATCTTAGAAGCCAACTCAAATGACCAATAGTGGATGTGACCAGCAAGGAGTCAAGAGGTCAGCCTCTACCTCTGCCATTTCCCCCCCCCCAATATTTAACTCTTTCCATTAGCCTTGGTTTCCCAAGTTCTAGTTACATCCACCATTTCCCTAAACATGTTTTTGACACCAACTTTTTTGAAGACTTGTAGAAATGGGAAAGTGAGGGCAAAGCAGATCACCATTATATCATTTAGGAGAAGGAGAGGAGGCAGTTGACTGTCTTCTCCTTCCCTACAAGAATAGGGCATATGGTCATCCTATAAAGACAAAATAGAAGCAAGCTCCTTTCCTTTAAAAACCAGAAATTATCAAACTTTGGCTGACAAATAACAATCTGACTCTAAAGTTTTTGAGGTTGCCTTTCAAGAGGTTTTCTGAAATTACTAAGAGATAGAAGTAAACAGAATCATTGTAGGGATAATAGGTTATTTCAACCTACATAGTTTTGAGTTCATAGGAAATTTAAGAACAACATTGGAAGAGATGGTTTAATTTTCAAGATGTGGATAAAAACAAATATTAATATTTAGGAAGGTTTCAAAAGAATGATGTAGGTGAGAATAATGACTGACTTACCATTATGATTTTTTAAATATGTTTAATCAATTTCTTTAACAACTGAGAGTTGAGAATATAACAGGAAAATAAAGGAAGATAAAAGGCTTTTTAAAAAGTATTAAGCAATCACTGGTCAGTCTCCCTGATCAACTCCCATTAAAGGCCAGGTTCCCTGGTCAGTAGCCATGCAGACTGACAGATTATGGAAATTAGAACACTGCATTATCTGTACAGTTAAATGATACTAAACTGCATTTCTATAAATGGAAGCATTGTTCCTTAAACCACTGTGGGACTCACTCGCTTTAGTCTTATAGCCACATCCTGTCACTTTTATTTTTTTCTATTGCATTCAACCAGTGGTTAAAAAACCTTGAGTGTATCTTGGTGGATTACCAATTAAAAGTTATTGCCTGCTTCACACAACTTGCAGACTAGGGTAACATACAATTGGATAGCTTGCAGCTCAATATGTTGTAGGAAGACATCAATTTCATAGTCCTATGGAAACCATATCATCATATGGATACTGGATTCCATTTTTTCTCCTTCAGTTAAGGAAGAATGTTTATTTTTATAGAAAGAATGAACACACACATAGATATAAAAGAAACGAAAACTCAAACATATTGCAAATACAAAGTAATTTCTCTCTGAGCCACAAACTCCCCAAAACTCTGTAAATGAGGTAAGATGTTTATATCCTAAAACCCTCATCTCTGGAATAACTACAATATTTATCTAAATTGCCAAATCACCCTTATGGTGTATGTGGCATTTATGGCTTTCCAGATGTGGAGCCAGCTTGGGTAATGATTAAGGCCCTGGCTAGAAACTGGGAGATGGTGAGTTCTAGTTTCACCTTAGGCAGGTCAGTTAGGTGACCATGGGCCAGTCTCTCTCTCCCTCCCTCTCCCTTAGGAAGGAGGCAATAGCAAACCACTTCTAAAAAACTTTACCAAGAAACTGGGGGGATTTGTCCAGACTATCACCAGAAATCAACACTGATTCAAAAGCAAAATGAAAAGAAACAATTGTGAAGTTTTAAATGAGCCTTATAAATTGCAGAAGAGTTAAATTATACTGAATAAACAGAAATTCTCTAATCTCCCTCTGCTTTCAGCAGGAAGACAAGAGTAAAGGGTAGAAGCTGCAAAAAGAGAGAGGTAGGACTGCTTTGGCTGAACCCACATCTAACATGGAGAAAAGAGTGTTATCCCTCTCTGATTATTTATTTGAGAACGAAATAACAAACTATCTTGCAAACCAAACATGTAGATAAACAGTTGCAAAATAAAATAATTTTTAAGAGGGTATCAACAAACTCAAAATCTCAATAAAAGCAGAAGAGAAAGAAAGATCTGATTGGGGCTTCTCAGCTGAGTGCTAAACTCAGTTTAAGTTCTGTTTTAAGTGTTTTCCTTTATGAAAGCAAAAGCACTCTAGAGGAATTTTTTACAAAATAATATCTGTTGTGTAGTGGGCTTCAGTAGGCAAGAACAGACCAGCACAGCTACAACAGCATGTATTGACTCAAAACTGGAATCGTGGAACAACAGGCAAATTCCTGTAATTTATACTGCGGCCCACAGTATAAATTGGCCTTAACCAATCACAATACTTGAAAAGCCGGCCCAAATATGAATGTTATAAGTTTCCCTCCAAAACAGTTGCAGTTAACAGGATTATATAAAGGTTAGTTTCACTTTAGCAGGGCTTAACACAAATATAAATATATTTATTTATCAGCACAAATATAACATACATACATACATACATACATACATACATACATACATACATACATATTCAATACGTAACAATATCCATTTTAAAAATCAAATGGCATAAATGGCAGACTTTTGAGTTCTTCAGAAACTTTTATCAGATTTTTTTTTAAAGGGAGGAGAAAAACCCCAAAATTAGGCAGTTATTTCAAACATCTTCTGTCCAAAATGAATTTTTAACATGGAGACTGCAATACATTGGTAGTGTTGCCCTACTTAAGTTACATCTACTACATATTCTGTTTATATATTAATTACTTTGCAGAACAAAGATCAATGGCTGCTTCTCTCCCATCTTTCAGACTGAAACCCCAAAGGTGATTATTCTTTCTTAGCTGGTCTTTTGTCAAGGGCAAAGTATCCAAAATCTCAGTGTGGCAGAGAGCACAAGTAAAGGGACATCCCAGTCTATATCTCAGCAAAGCTAGAGATTGATTTTAACTGGTTCATTAGATTAAAATGATAACTAAAGCAAATAATATATAACATCACTAGTCTGCTATTCAGCAGACAGATGTTGATGGCATCCCACGCTAAAAAGAATGTTCTCCCATCTCTTCGCTGCCACTTTCTACTATAACCGAGAGCCACCAGGAGGCAGCTGAGCATCTGAGGGAAGCAATGTTCAAGGCTGGGCTAGAGATAATAAGGGAAGTGAACGAGAAACAGACGCATTGTCCTTTGATAGGAATCTAGACTTTTCCTGTTCCTCAGAAAGGACTTTTTTTGACTGCCTGCTCTCTGGGTTGACTAAGGAGGTGGCGTCACTGTTTTAAAGCTGAAGAAAGATCATCTTTTGGCAGAGAAGAAAGTCTCCCCAGAGTGTGCTGACTCCCTTCTCCTTACATTTAGGATGCAATGAGTGATGATGTTATCCACAGGATTCCTGTTGCGCCTAGACTTGCAAAAGGTAAGTTAATTTATCATTTTCTGAATACAGTATTGGGTTTGATTGGGATTAAGCGCACACAAGCCTCCAGTAGCCCTTTTGATCATTGACAGATGACAGTTCCTGTCATGTGCAAATCATATTATCCCACTGTACTTGCTGCTTTGGGATAATATAATTCAAAAAGAGTGCTTAGGAAAACACTTCTAAAACAGAGTTACAGTAACTTTATGCTTAATACAGGGGAAGAGAGTCGAGCTGGGAATCTTCCAAAGAAGAATAATAGTGTTTATATGCAGAAAAAATATATATTTCTCAGCTAATTTCACCTCCTTCAATACTGAATTTTTCATTCAACTCTAGGCATAATTGTCAGAAGTTAAGCCCTACTGAGTACATTACAATATAGTTTACTGCAAAGTAAAAAAAAACATAATTGTATTCTACAAGTACTTTTACCACAATATATCCTAAGCTACAATTATTTGAATATTCTACTGGTCAATCGGATTTCCATTTGAAAAGGGAGAAAATAATGAGCAATGGGAACATCCAAATGACATATTCCATTATTAGTATTTAACCTGTGAGATAATACCTCTGTCTAAGAAGCAACTTTTGCCTCACACTTTAACTACCAGCAGCCTATAAAATATATATTTTAGTGATGTAAATGTGAATTGGGGTCCCCATTTCCGATCAGAAAAAAACAAAATGAAACATCTCTCATTCCTTAGAAGACAGTCAGAAGACAGTCTCACCTGAACAGCCATTTTACCAGGCTTCTCAAAGGACAAGTGGGAATTTCCACATTTCTCTCTTTCCCGATGTTCAAAGCATTTCCATCAAGAAAGTCCCAAGTTGTTTTCTCCCTCTTGAGAAAGACTACAAGGGATCACACTGAGGATGGTTTCTCATGCTGGCCATTCAGTCAGTGTAATAGGTTAATTGACTCCTGTTATACCTAGCCAGATGGTAAGAGTTTCTTTCTAAGTGCCTTCTGCTGCTTCTTTATGAGCTTGTTAAAATAACATTCCTGATGTTTGTGGTTTTTGCTTGTAGAGTTACTGCAACCACAGGTGATGCCATGGAAGTCTCCTCCCCACGCCAATTTCCTGACACCTTTCTTAGCAACTGATCTATTCCTGCACTGCTAAGAAGAGTGGAGGTTTTACTACCAAAGACAGTAGATGCACAGTATCTGCCCTCCCCACCGCCCTTGCTCGTTCTCCTACATGGCTACACTCAAGAGCATTCTCTAAGTAGATGGCTCTCGGAGAAGTCAAGCTATAGATAGAACAGCTGCTTCTGGTGATTTCCAAGTAAGTTAAAATTAAAATTTCTGGTTCCAAAAGTTAGTGGGAAAGGGCTATTTATGCAAAGAACCACATGGGATGATATCGAAAATCTGAGCGAAGGAGATCTGCATACCGCTCACTAGTTTGTTTTTGCGCTGGCTGCACTTTTCTTATGGTGATGTGAAATCACATTCCAAAAGACCATGTACAGCCTTTGACCCTTAGCATGGTGCACATCTATGTCCTAATAAAAGTAATAAGTTTAAATGTTCAGCAATCTTTTCTGGAATCTGGATGTCCTCCATGGCTTTCTTAAGTACGTAGATGTGTGCCTCAAAGGAAAGCATGACTTGGCAATAGCTGGGCATGTGAAAGAGGATTTAAGAAACAGTGGAGTTCACAGGAAGAGCAAAGGGAGATATTTTTTATCTTACTTATTTCCTTAACCAGAAAAGCCTCTTGAAGACACAAGTTCTGATCTGTTCTCTGACGTGTTTAGATTTCAAGGCCAGTTCAAAAATGAAACTGGCAATTTTAAGTTAACATCATGCTTTTCTTCAATGTTAAAAATAACAATTCCTTTAGATGTATAAAACTCGGGATTGGACAGGAGACACATTTGAAATTCCAAAAATGTCACAGTGGTTACCGTGGAGATAATTGGAACAGATTTGTTGCAAAGTTTCTGTAGTAGTATTTACTGTACATATGTATGGTTGACAATTTATTAGTGGGATTGTTTTAAATAGGACTGCATTTAAATCTCTGAAATGTCGAGTTGCAATTATTCACTTCTCTGTTGTGGTTCATCATATCTTTAACATTTTTACAATACTTTTTTAAAGATTTCTTTTACACGGTTTACCTAAAGTCATGGAAGTTTTGCACTAACCAATTTCATTGTATTTAAGTACAATGACAATAAAGATTATACTTATACTTAATTAGTACATTATTATGCTATTCACATCGAGAGTTATTTTATTTTTATATAATGTATATCATTGTGTAATTTATCATAACATGTATTACCATAGCTAAGAAATGCATCATAACTGAACTCTTTCTATAGCTACGGTCATTATCTTAAAAAGAAAGATAAATACTAAGCCATACATCTCCTGGTTTTATTTATTTAGACTATTTCCTTATTTCCTTCAGGAAGTCCTTTCCGAAGCCCAGAAGATTGTGGATTCTTTATCAGACGCTCAGATGGGCTCCCAACCAAATGAACATCTTATATTCATATTATCTCGGCTCCTGTCAGCTTTCATCATTCTGGCCAATGTTTTCATTATATTTGGGATCCTGTTTAATCGCAAGCTCCATGGAACCATCAACTGGTTCTTCCTGAGTCTGCTCATTGCTGACCTCTTGGCTGCGGGAGCTCTTCCCCATGTCTTTCAGAAGGATCATGTGAGCTATTCGTGCTTAGCACGTTATGTTGTGCCCAATTTCCTTTTTCTCTCTTTTTTAGCCAATCTGCTGGTGATGCATTATGCTAAATATACATGCATCATCCAACCACTGCACTACCGCCAGTCCTGGGTTTATCGCTGGTCTGGTCTTTACATATGCTTAGCATGGGTGTCTCCCTTGACTTTTGCTTCCATGCCATTGGCTTGGTACCAAGGGAATTCCAGTCAGAAGTGCTCTGCTGAACAAGTCTTAACGTTGCCTTACCTCTTTGTAGAAACCTATGTGTTCATCATCCCAATCATCTTTGCAATAGCTGTAATGGGTATCCGAATACTCTGTATAGCCAGAAAGCAGCTTAAAAACATTAAAAAACTGCTTAATTCAGTGAATCAAAGTCAGACCCCATCGGAATTGGAACAACAACTGGAACTGAGGCATGCAAAGAGTATCGCCAGTGTCTCTCTCATCTTCCTGGTCTGCTGGGTGCCATATATTGTTTGTTTGAATATCTCACTACATTTAGAAATAAAAGGTAATAGCACTCTTGCTATTGTTATCTGCATAGGAACTGCCAGTGCTGCTGTAATACCCATCATCCTCAGTCTTGGCAATCATCAATACATCGAATTTTGGAGTGACATGGCCATGAAAGCCTATAGAACCTGCTGCCAAAGACAGGGGTGCAAACAAAAACAAAATAATCAGCCCCGCGGCAATAATACAGAAATTCCTACAATTGCAGACTGATGCTTTGCAGTGGGAAGTCATCGAATCCCTCATCCAGCCATTTAGCAGCACAAATGCTTCAATCTTCTCCCTTCCGCTTGGAATGAAATGGGAATGTGTGCTTCCATTCATGGTTTCCCATAACTTAGATCAGAATTCTGCTGTTTGTTGGGGATCTAATGCCATTCAAAAGTTCAGCTAAATATAGTAAGGACATTTCTTTTTCTTTTCCTTGCTGGCAGTCCTGGGAACACAAAGAAGGTTGGAATGCCTTGAAACACATTAACTTTGATTTGCTATCAAAAAATGGAGAAGTTGAAAAACAATGAACAGTTGGGAATAGATTCTCGTACACAGCTCTATTCCTGAATTCCCCTCCTCCTGAATCCCTGCCTTCTAGACCTGCTGCTTACATTAACCCCCCTTTCTCCTGACATGGAAAAAAGTCCCTGGTTTTCCATTATAATAATGTCAGAATAGAAGATAACACCTGAATTTCAGCAGCCTTAGCTATAATCCTTGTTCCTTAAATTCCTTGCAGTGCAATTGAAGGATATTGGGAAGCCATTGGGACATTTGTATATCAAGTAGGCTGGATTTACAATGAACCATAGGTTCATATGAATATGTGAAATGGGATCACAAGCAGAGTAACCAAAACCAAATACTGACCGCATTCTAAAATCAAATCCGTACAATGTAAGTTAATCTCTGTTGAAAAGATCTAGATTCATTCATTATGAAGGCATGCAAGTACATAAATAAATCATTTCCCATTATCTTGGCCTTGGCTGCCTCTCACAACAACCCCATGAGATAGACAAGGCCCAATTATTCACATGTTTACAGATAAGGAAAACTACACTGAGGCACACTCCCATTTTCCTGGTATTCTCAACATCATCAATAACAACACATGCCCCCCTCTGTAGTAGAGGTCTGTAGTTGATACCTGAGACTTTAAGGGCCGAAACAGATGAGGAAGGAGCTAATCCTATTTCAGCAAATCTGAATTCTTGGATCAACCCTGAGCAGAAAACTCCCAACTCAAGGCTGGGAAGAGAATGGACAAATGTTCACTGATTGAAAATACTAAGATAAAAAGCTTAAGAATTTATACCTTATAAAGCTAATACTGTATGCTAGGCTTCTTTGTTGTGTCCTGCCATAATTAACTCTTCATTATAAATACCAGTTTTTGTTGGCAATAAAAGAATTTTTAAAACTGTCTTAAGTCAATGAAGCTTCTGCTAACTACTGACTGGAAGATTAAGCTTCTAAAAACATTGTTATAGCTGTTCTTCATGTGAACCTTGATGATAAAGGCTGCCAAGAGAGGCAAGAAATAGTTAAGGATTGATGACTTGGTGACAAATTTAATTAAGGTGAAATTGGGCTGGGTTTTTTTTTTTAGCCTGTGGGTTTACTTACACATCCATTTACCATAATCTTTTTCGGAGAAGAAGCAGATGCTTTGTGAGGTCAGAAGCAAACTGGTTTGCCATTTATGCTTATTAATACTTAGGACCGAGACATAATGTCCTCATTAAAGAGCTAATATAGTTCTCATGATCTTAATTGGTCTAATTCCCTTTTTAAACAATTGAGGTTGGGAGCCATTACGACCTCTTATCTTGCAATCTTCCAGATTAGGAATTACCACTTTCCATCTTTAGCGGTAAAACATCAAACCAATTTCCTATTTCCTTCATCCTAGCATTTGGGCAGTTTGGGGTTAGCAAACTCAGGCCTGGCTGTTGGGCCTCCAATCACATCTAATAGCTTCTCATCTTTTTTTTAAAAACGCAGTGATGTGTGAGGCAAAGCTTAAGCAGAGGAAGGCTTTTGTATTTTCTTCCATGTCTGTTTTTAATTATGAGCTCTGCAACTCGTTTCTTCATAAGTAAAGGTAAAGGTTCCCCTCGCACACATATGCTAGTCATTCCTGACTCTTAAGAGGTGGTGCTCATCTCCATCTCAAAGCCAAAGAGCCAGCACTGTCCGAAGACGTCTCCGTGGTCATGTGGCCAACATGATTAAATGCTGAAGGCACACGGAACGCTATTACCTTCCCACCAAAGATGGTTCCTATTTTTCTCCTTGCATTTTTACATGCTTTCGAACTGCTAGGCAGAAGCTGAGACAAGTAATGGGAGCTCACTGTTACACGGCACTAGGGATTCAAACTGCCAAACTGCCAACCTTTCTGATCGACAAGCTCAGCATCTTAGCCACTGAGCCACCGCATCCCATTAGGTCCTGTTATATTAATCCAAACTCTGTTCATAGACTTAATTAATTTGGAAAGACTTAAAACTCTTTGGATGCCTACTGAGACATATTCTATTTTCAAAAGGGAAAAGGGGTAATTCTAGCACCATGCTTTCAGATCATATAGTAGTTGTCAAGGTGTTATTTTCCACCAGTTAATTTAATTTGTTGGGTCCAATTTAGCAGAAGTTATTAGGGGAATTCTTTATTCACACTAATGAATTCATCAGCTATATCCGTCATAGAAATGGCAAAGAATTATAGGAGCTGCCAGTGAAAAAGTCTAAAGGGACAAAATCATCTACCCTTCCTATAGATCTGAAGATATAAAGCATACTGTATATGGAACAATGCTATTTATAGTAATTAACAATACTGAAATTCAAATAGTTTTATTGCAGTCATTAACCAGCATAGAATTAAGAATATTGAACCTATTCTTCATACTATGAACTGAATCTTATTCATGAAAAGGAAAATGATGTCAAAAGATTAGGAAATCTCATAGGACAGTTTCATTAAGGATTTTAAACTATCAGATTATGTAAACAATCGCAATTAATCTGCTAATCAGTGTTTGTGAAACTGCATTTTGTTGATTTCACAAGAGTTTAGGTGGCCAAATTTAGAAAGGATAAGTACTTCAAAGATGAACTCTACTGAGAAATTCTGGCTAACCCAATTGTGATATTGATTGGTACATTGTCTTGGGATATACATATTCCTGTTTTTCAGTCAATGATAAAAGTTTTAGAATAGTAGGTGAAATCTGAAAGTAGAAACCGAAAGATGTTTATGAGAGCAAAAATCCTCTTAAGTACAATCTACTGGATTGCAGGGAAAGCCAGAATCAGAAATATTGGGCTCCACCTGACAAAAACAGACATCCAGGAACTACCAAGAATGCTCTCCACTTTTCAGACAGCTGCTAATTGTTAGGTAATGTGAACTCAAAACTAGGCAACTATTGTGTTTTCCTTTAGTAAAGGTAAAGGTTCCCCTCGCACATATGTGCTAGTCATTCCCAACTCTAGGGGGCCGTGCTCATCTCCATTTCAAAGCCGAAAAGCCAGCACTGTCCGAAGATGTTTCCGTGGTCATGTGGCTAGCATGACTAAACGCCTAAGTCACACAGAATGCTGTTACCTTCTCACCAAAGGTGGTCCCTATTTTTCTACTTGCATTTTTTACCTGCTTTCGAACTGCTAGGTTGGCAGAAGCTGACACATGTAATGGGAGCTCACTCTGTTACATGGCACTGGGGATTTGAACTGCCGACCTTTCTGATCGACAAGCTCAGCGTCTTAGCCACCGCGCCACTGCATCCCATCATGTTTTTCTTTATATTTATATAAATAAAACTCCCTTCTAAACCCTACCTTCCAAAAGGCTAATACTGCAAGGGCTCCCTGGTGAGACTGGAATAAAGTAATCTGAGCAATGTCCTGTACTGGACCACTTCTGCAAACCCAACAGGTAGTGTATTTGGGTTGCCTGAAGTCATTTGAAAAGCAAAGACATTGAACAACAGCAATCTTTACCAGACTACCTCTAATTAATTTACATTTATTTTTTGGAAGGGTCTGTACAGGAAAGGAAAAACCCACCACCATACCATATCCCCCAAGGTGACTTTCATCATTATTCAACAGTCCAGCTGGAGTGATCTCTGCTTTTGGCAAGTCATTGTCCATTGAAGACTCCAGTATGATGGTCTTCCAGTCCGTGGTTCAGCCCGGCTTAGTTCTGCAATGGTATAAATTGTAGCACTGGAGCGAGCTGTGAACCGTCAAAAGCGAAAGGTCTATAACGTCCCTGCGGCTCAAGCCCAGTGTCCATAGGCCTCCACCAGATGGCTCAAAACATAGTCCTCTATGTGAAATGATAACTGGCAGTTGGGTCAGTAGAACTGTAGCAGCTGTCCAGTTCAGGATATCTCTGTCCTGATCTTCCCGGCCATATTTCGCAATTTTAAGGTCCCAGGATTCTCGCAGCCTATATTCTGAGATAATGGCCACGTCCAGGACCCATAGTTCCTTTGTATGCTCCACCACCAAGTCTGGCTTAATAAAAGATGGCCCAGATGGTATAATGGGCTCCACCCAACAACGATCTCCATTCCCTTGTAATAGGTACGCAAGGTGACAGAGAACTTGATTGTGATGGGCGCACCGCGCATTGTGGGTGATCTCACAAACCTGTAGAATATGATTCAGAGTTTCTGGGGATCAGCAGGCACCTCGACAACTCTTGTCTACCACCTGGTGACTGGAACCACACACACTCCTAGATTTGGTGTTGAGTATGCCGCCCCTCAATTGGATGCCCCGTATAAACAATCAGAGAACACCCGAGAGGGGTGCAACAGCCACTCGTGGCTAGCTCTATCAACATCTGTGATACGTAAGTCTCTGCCATCGATGGATTGTGTGAGGATATCTTTCTACTCTAATTGGACCTCCACCTTGGTGAGAACGACGCAGAGGCCATCATGCACGGTCAATTTATCCGAGTCATCAGTGACTGGAACGCCTCCTGTTGTAAAACGGCAGTAGGCACCAGGGTAGCTCCTGATGCCACTTTCTCGAATCGTGCCTTCTGAAGGAGTAGTATCGAGGTAGAGAAGCAGGGCACTTCCAACCCCCCATTTTTAAGGTGGGAGTGGAAGAATCCCAATGGAATATCACTTGGCAGACGGAGCCAGACCCGCACCGCAGATCTCATCAGTCTGTCCAGCCTCGTAAGTGTATTATGGTGTGCGTGATCAAGGACCAACTCACGTGTGAACTTTGGCACCAAATAAGATCTCAATAGCCTAAGCCGTTGATAAGGCTTAAGCGGTGCCTGGGTCAATTCATTCAGTATGCCCTCCAAGAGATCAGTGTGCTTTGGGACAACCCGGCCTTTCCAGTTAAACTGGAGGCCCAGATACTACACTGAGTTGTCTGGCCCTAACGGGCTAATAGAAGCACCTGTGTAAGTATAGGAAGTTGGTAATAGGGCCATATACTTACGTTTCCCACTTTTGGCGATCGTAAGGTCAAAGGACAATCCAGTTGCATGGAGGGCATTTGCCACACAATCAAGTTTTTCCTGTAACTTTGCTGGTCGTTCTGCCAGGAGCACTAGGTCATCTGCATAAGCCAGAAAGTCAATCTTCTGGCCACCAAGGTTAAACCCAATTGTGGGCAGGGAAGCCGTAAGATGTCATCAATGACCAGAATAAATAAGAGGTGAAAGGGGATCTCCTTGCCGTAAACCCCTCCCGCACTGAATAACTGTATCTGTGTGTTGAATGGTGGAAAACTGATAAAGGCTACCCAGATAAGAAAGCAGCGGAGGAGGAGGGTCTGCCCCAGTGGCAACCCTAAAAAGGGAATGATGTGAAACCCTATCAAATGCCTTGGCAACGTCGAGAAACAACATCGCACAAGGCACTTGATTGGTATGGACCCTCCGTAAGATGGTATGGAGAAGGGTTGTTGCCTCGAGACAGCCATCCCGCTGAAGGAAAGCATGTTGGAATGGGGAGAGCTGCAGCGTGTCACAGAGACGCTTTGCAAAGGTTTTATGCAAAGCCCACAATAGTATGGATGCTATCTCAATAGCCTAAGCCGTTGATAAGGCTTAAGCGGTGCCTGGGTCAATTCATTCAGTATGCCCTCCAAGAGATCAGTGGTCCCCGGAGCTGTTGGGTTCTCAGTTTTAGGAAGGAAAACCACTCGAGATCGCACAAGATGTTTAGGAGGCCCCCCGGCTGCTAGCAGCAAGTTGAAATAAGCTGCTAAAGATGGCTGGTGCAATGCCAGAAGGTCCATGGCAGAAATGCAGTCCAGGCTACTGCACTCAATGACATAGATTGCAGGGATAGATAAAGGACAGCTTGGTAGCAAACCCTGATCACCCACAGGTAAGACGTTTCACTCTTAGCTTTTGGTTTTCTAGCCGAGTAGGCTCTTAAACATCAATTATATCTTGTAGTGATTTCTTACACACCAACATCTCCCACCCAAAGCACATTGTAGAATTGCTTTTATATTCTTAGCCTTTTTACCTTCTGTTTCGGACTGGAATTAAATTTATCTGAACACCAACGAAAACACAGTACTTGGCTAATTTGAGTTTACATTACCTAGCAACGAGCAGCTCTCTGAGAAGTGGGGAGTATTTGTGTGACATCCCCTTCCATAGTTCAGGTATCCATTGTACCCAGCCTTCCTGGAAGATTTTCACACAAAATGAATGGCTACATGGTTCTACTCCTTACTGTCATATTTCAATGCAACACTATTATGTTTTTCCCTCTTGCCTGTTCCAGGACAATAGGCTGGTCTTTGGTTACCAAACAGACTAGATATCTAGCAATAATAGTCTAGCAAGCCACAAATTCAAACAAGCCCTCCAAATGACAGCCTTTTTTTATTTTGTCGTAACGTCTAGTGACGTAAAAACGAGCTGTCTTGTTATTGTCACTGAGAGGTCCACGCATTGAAGTCCAGGACGATGTGCTCAGTCTCCACCAGAGTTCCAAAGCCTGTGCATCATCTCAGGAACATCGTTTGATTGGCTTTGAACAAATCCACATGATTTGTTTGAAGGGGAAGCACAAGCTCAAAATGACCAAGGGAAGGATGAGCCTTACTGTCACTCCACAGGCTACGTAACAGTCCATTTGTTCCCATCTTAATGGAACATAGGTGATATCTCTGACCTCCATGAACATATCTTCAAAAATTATGTGCAAGGAGGCCTCTTTGAACCTGGGAGAAGTACGGAGGTTCTTCTGAGATACCTCACTTCAATGCCTACCGCTGCCCAGATCTTGATCCAGGCCCCACCCACTTGTGTTTTCTCATCGCTTTGTGTATGAAGCACCAGGGATGTAAATAATTGTAGAAAACTCCAGCAATCAATTGGGGATAAGGTGACAAAGCTTTCTTTTCAAAATAAGGATGATCATAAAATGCTTAGTTACATCCCTGCAGGAAGTTATTAGGCTAACTCCATCCACCCTGCTCACAGTCCCATGGGTATATCTGCCATCAGTCCCATGGCACGCTTTCTTGCAGTGCCCAGTCACCTAAATGCTAGCGGTCAGGTTGCTGCACACAAAACACTTTGGCCTGGTGATCACCAGAAGTAGTAACCACAAGCGAAGCATCTCTGCAAAAAAAAAAAAAAAGAGAGAGAGAGAGAGAGAGAGAGAGAGAGAGAGAGAGAGAAATTATTAAAATAC